CCCCAAAACCCCAAAACCCCAAAACCCCTTAATGATGATTTAGAGTGAATTCTGATGGAATAAAAGTCAATAAATAAATTACTTTATTGGAAGTATAATTAAATTAAATTTGCAAGAATAAAGATATTTATCAAATATGATTGGATTAAATGAGATGTTTTTTGAGGAGGGTGATCAGGACATTGGCACTAGCCAAGCTGTTTACTCAAGCTCATATAAAGGTTTGCCATTCTAATTTAATATAATTTTTAATAGCGAGACCTAAGAATTGTGCAGGAAGCTTAGAATTACCACCTATGCCAAAGCAGAAAAGTAAATTTGTGGGACTTCTAAATCAGTATGAAACTTATTTAACTTAATTTTGTCTTTAGAGGAGCGACATGCTATCTAAACTCCCTTTTCTAGACTCTATACCTTACACCTCAGCTTAGATAAGCAATATATCAGTTGCCATTATGTGTAAAAAATTTAGTATTGATGTAAATTATCAGGATGGAGATATCGAGACTCCTAGCAGTTTTTTGTCAGGAAAACGCAGAGAGATACTTTTCAACATCTAAAAGTTATTTGTTTTGCTTCAAGAAGAGGACTCAAGAGCCATTACGACATAGGAACTTACCAAAGCATTTGGATGGGACAATAATGAGGAATTATAGTAGTAGGATGTTTAAGAGCTGAACAGAGTGTTATTTGATATAGTTGAAAGATCATTGAAGGATACAGCCTATGAAGCACTCATAGATCAGCTCTATAGAGGAAATCTAAGTCATCTCATCATTTGCTAGAAATGTAACACCCCTAGAGTAAGAGAGGAAAAATTTCTTGATTTGCTTGTCTAAGTTAAAAATTGCAAAGATATCTGTGAAAGTTTGCAAAAATTCTTTGCATTCGACAAATTAGATGGAGATAACCAACTTTTTTGTGATCATTGCAACGAGAAAACAGATACCTTGAAAGGCTAAAGGATAACAAAGCTTCCACCGATCTTGACAATCTGTCTGGCTAGATTTGACATTGACTATACCAAATGGGAGAGAATTAAGGTAAATGATAGATTTGAATACCCACTTGAAATTGATCTAAAAGACTTCGTAGAGCCAGATGCATTACCACTTCAAGCTGATACTGTATATGAACTAAAGAGTATAATCATACACAGAGGTGGAGCTTATGGTGGGCATTATTATGCTTACATTTAAGATGAGCTTTAGGAAGGTGACTGGCATCTGTAAATGCCTGAGTAGTTTAGCAAGGAGCCAAAGGTAGTTGAAAAGGTGAAATATGATCCAAAGAAATTCATGACTGAAGAACAGATCAAAGCTGAGGAAGAAGCAAAGCTGAACCAAGCTGATGCTGCCATAACTATCGATATTGAGACAGATAATCAGGAGAATAGCAATAACAATAAATAAAACAAAGGGGGTAAAGGTGGAAAGAAGTAAAAAGGCAACAATAAACAGTAATAAAATCAAAAGAAAAATTAGAATAAAACCAACAATCAGCAGTAACAGCAAAAGAAAAATGAAAAGAAGGAGATCGAGGTAGAGTATAACTATGATGAATGTGATTTCCCAATTCCATACTCAGATAGAAGACTTATTAATAATTGGTATGATTTCAATGACTCATAAGTCACACCACTGTTGCCTGGTAAGCTTTAGAGTTAATTTGGAGGGTCTAGTGAAAATGCTTACATGTTAGTCTATAGATAGAGATGCATCAGTCTTGATTTGGCTTTGTAATAAAGACCTGAGGTGCCTTTATATTGGAAATCAGCTGTGCAGAACATTAATGAAATTAATAATTAGTAAAGATAGTATTATGATAGCCTTTAAAATTAGCTTGATCTGGTCATTTAGCATTAAGATTTCTTCTAAATTGATCCAGAAAACTACTTAGTGTCTTATGTTGAAGATTCTAAGTTTGATGAACAAGGATTCAGGATAAGAGTTAAATTTACTGATACAGTATAGGAGGTAAGAGATTAAATAGCCTCCTAACTAGGCTTCTCAGATTTCAATGCTTTTGAAGTAGAAAGAGTCAGAAATGGTAACTGCTAACTATTGCAAAATTGGGCGATTCTCGACCCAAATGCCTAGCTATAGGACACTAAAATCACGCATTTATCAACTTGGATGATAGTGAAGGATGAGATAGCCATTAAGAGACTTTAATAGGTTAGTGGGGAAAACATTCAGCCAATCAAACTCAGACTTAGATTCTACGGTGAAGAGTTTGAGTAGAAATTATACAACAACACTACTATTGCTGACTTCTTAAATATAGTAGAGTCAACTACTTCAATACCAGTAGCTCAAATATGTCTTAAAGTAGTGGAAGATACAGTTATCCGCAGAATTGATAGGCAGTTGAAAAATGCAGACAATCCAAATATCTTAAATACTCTTAGAGATTTGAAGATTGTGGATAATGCAGCTATCTTAGTTGAGATGAAGGATGAAAGCCAAGTATCATAAGAAGAGGACGAAATTAAGCAGAGCCTGTCTCATGCTTTGAAGGATAAGGATGAGGTTAATGTAGATGATACTGAGAACATCAGAACTGTGATTGTCAATTTGGAGTATAATGAATCTGATTTCACTAGGTATCAAATAAACATTGACTGGTCACTCTAATAACTTAATGAATTCATTGTGGAGTAATAGAAACTAGAGCAACCTTAAAGAATGAGAAATCTAACTACCTCAAGGCTCTTTGTGAAAGAAGAGCTCGAGACCCAACTAAGAAATTATCCAGACTTCTAAACAGGAGGGGCAAGAATCTAGATGGAAGCAGGCAGATATCCCTCATTCTAAGAAATAGTTATCAAAGCTGTAGTTTACAAACAAGAGGATATATTAAAGCAATTCTATTTCCCAATTAATAATTCAGTTTAGGAATGGTAAGTTTCAAATAGAATCCATTAATCATAATCATAGTAAAGAAATGATGTGCAAAGAATTCAACATTGATCCAACTAAGCACACTCTATACAGAATTGATCATTTGGAGGAACCAGCATTCCCACTCAGAAGAGAAAAGCAAGAAATAGTCAAATGCCATGTCTCATCAGGGGATCTATTGATCATTAAGAGTGATTCAATCTTGAGTGCTGAAGAAAAGCTTGTCCTTCACATTCATATGACTATGACTGGACAATCAGATGATAGCTAGTACATTGATAAGCTAGAAGTCCACAGAGATTACACCCTCAAAGATCTAAAGGATATTGTACTTTCCATGCCCTAATTCGATTTCGCTAAAAATTATGTAATCTATGATTTTTATAATATTCTTTAGAATGGAGATCAAATAAGAGTAAGAGAGAAATAGAGTAATATGTTCTTTGGAAAGATTTTCAGAGACTAAAACAAGTCCTTGAAGCAGCTTTAAATTACTAACAATTCATAGATAGTGATTCAAGTTTTAAGAGAGCCAGAGGAGCTTGATCCAAACACTATGATTTTGCTTATAAGTAGAAGAGATGTGACACTAAGAACTTATAGCCAACAAGTTGAGTTCAAGTTTAAGAGTTAAAACGGCATACCTCTTATAGCTGACTTAGAGAAGTAATGCAGGGAATTTTACCAAATTAATGATGATGAGAGTATTTCGATTGCAAAATATTTCCCTCACAAGTTCGAATGGAAGAAGTTCGATAAAGAAGAAGAGGTAGTCGAGAAGAAAAAGAAGGGCAAGCAAGTGACTCTTAAAATGGCTGTCCAAGATTTGAGGAAGTTGCCATTCTTTATGAAGGATGGGGATATTATTGGAGTAAGATTCGAAAGTGAAAATGCAGACGGTCAAGATGACTTCCAAACTGAAACTGACAAGGTACTGAGAGAGGAGTTTATGATAAGAAAAGAATAGGAAAGAATTGAAAGAGAAAAAGAGCAAAAGAGCAGTCAAGGCAAGAGTAAGAGGTAGGAGGGTCCAGGCATTTATATCAGACTTGAAGAGGATTACCCTATGGCAGAGTTATTCGTTGATAATAAGGATGATACGAAGGTTGAGGATTAGCCTGAGATAGAGCAGTTAGATTCTGAATAGAAAACTGATGATGATGCACCTCTTGATAAATAAGAATGAAAGATTGATTCGGATTAATTTATTTTATTTACCAATTATACTGAAAATTTTGAGGTCATGGGGTTTTGGGGTTTTGGGGTTTTGGGG